AGGAGACCAAGGTCGAGGGTGAGGACCAGACCAACTTCATGGTTAGACCTTTTTCGGCGCGTTATGAAGTGTGTGTTAGTCACGCGGTTGGATCGTCAGCGGGCTGTTTGTTGTTAGTGCGCCAGAGGTTGGGTGCAACAGTCGAGGCGGTGACGAAGTGTGATTCAGGGCGCTTTGCTGTATGTGATTTTTCTCTTTCATCGTATGATTGGAGGGTCATTTGTGTGTACCCCTCCAATAGGGTTGATGAGCGGCGGGAGCTTTTGATTTCATGCATCAGTATTGCAAAAGTGATCGCCTTATTATTTTTCTTGGCGATTTCAATTGCGTCTGCTCTGCTGGGGACAAGTCCAGCTCAACGCCTTATCGCGATTTAAGCACCGAGAGCCTTCTGAGGTTAATCAACGAGTCCGGCTTTGATGACGTCGGGGAATGTTTGAGGAATGGCCGCGAAATCCTGTACACCCATTTCCAAGGGTCGAGTCACGCCCGTCTAGATCGAGCGTACGTTTCTTTAGATTTGATACCATTATGTTTTGAATATCGCGTGCACCCTGTTTCCTTTAGTGATCACTGTCTAGTTTCCTTTTGTATGCGTAGTAAATCCCAAGCCAGGAAAGTCTTCAGCTGGGAATTATGGAAATTGAACGCGAAACTGTTGGAGGATGACGTTTTCACTGTCGAAGTGCAGGCCGCAGTTGAAACACTGGAGAGACAGAAAAAATTAGGGTATGGTGTGAGATGGGACCTTTTTAAGCAGGAAATAAAAATGAAAGCGTTAGAGCGGGCAGGCGTACTTAAAAGCACTGAAAGGAGCAACGAAATGTTATTGCGTAATAATTTGCGGATACTGCTAAAGGAAGAGACTAAAATGCCTGGGGCATACAAAGATGATATTTCTTGTGTGAAAGATAAACTCGAGATTCTAGATCGGGAACGATATTGTGGGATGATTGTTAGAGCCAGAGCCGAAAGATGGTCAACAGGCGAAGCGCCAACTAAGCGTGCGCTGAGCCTCGAGAAAAGATATGCTCGGCGTAACGAGATAACGGGGGTAGAGAGGAACGGATCACTTACGACCGATAAGGAAGAAATCGAACTCGCATTTTTCGAGTATTACAGTAGATTGTTTGCGTCCTGTCCAGTAGATGTCCAGCTTTTTAAAGATGAATTTTTGGGTTTCATGCCGCGCATAGATGACGAAACGAAAGAATTACTAGAATCGACCATCAGCGTAGAGGAAGTGGTCTTTGCAATAGAAGCCCTAAACCCGGGAAAGTCCCCTGGCCCAGACGGCCTAAGTGCAGTTTTTTATAAGACTCAGAAGCGCGAGATTGCCGCAGTCCTAGCCACGGTATTCAATGAAGCATATGATTTGAATATGTTGCCTCCATCTTTTATGTCGCCGCACACAGTGTTAATTCCCAAAACAGATGACGCAGTTAAGTTGCAGCACGTCACAGCGTATCGGCCGATCAGTCTGACTAATGTCGACTACAAAATTTTAATGAAGATCTTAGCAAGGAGATTGCAATCCGTAATATCGGAAATAGTGGGGCTCCATCAAACTTGCGGCATTAAAGGAAGGACTATTTGCACCAACATCCACAAAGCACGCAGTGTTCTGGAGTGCTGCGACGCAATGCGTACTTGCGTTGCGATGCTCCAGGTAGATTTGGAAAAGGCTTTTGATCGCGTGCCTCACAACCTGCTTTTAACCATTCTCGATCATGTAAACGTCGGCACTGTTATCCGTGAAGGTGTCAGCATGGCGTACAACGGTTGCTCGACGAGACTTATGGTGAACAAGTCGGTTGGAAAACGTATAAAAGTGAATCGATCCGTCCGCCAAGGGTGTCCTTTGTCACCACTTCTTTTTTGCATTTACATAGAATCCCTTTGCATTAGTATTTTTAAAAACAGTACTATCAGTGGTTTTCAGCTTCATGCGACCGAAGTTAAAGTGTTAGCGTATGCTGATGATATTGCAGTGTTTTGTTCCAACCGCGAGAGTATTGTTCAAGTCGTTCACACGCTTAAACGTTATTGCGAAGTCAGTGGCAGCTCTGTTAACTGGGCCAAGTGCCTGGGATTTTGGCATGGAGAGTGGAGCTCTACTCCTAGTTCGTTTGCCAACATGCAGTGGGTGACCACCCCCGTAAAATATTTGGGCGTGCCTCTTGAAAATTATCGCGATAGCGAACCCTATTGGCGACGGCAGGTAATGGAGCTTCGCGAAAGAGTGGAAAAAAGTCGGAGGTACGATCTGTCTATTTTTGCACGGGCCACAGTTTGCAATTTGTTTTTTGTCAGCAAACTGTGGTACGTTCTACAAGTTTTGCATTGTTCGCGGGTAAATGTGCAGAAATTGCACCGGGTATTTGCAGTGTTTATTTGGGGTTCCACGTGGGAGCGATCGAGTAGGATGAATCTTTTCCGGCGCGTACGCAATGGGGGCCTTAGTTTGACGCATTTGTTTTTACGTCAGGTTGTTAATCGGTTCACGTATTTTCGGGACATAAGTGACCCCTTTTTGCGCACCGTTTGTCAAGTGAGAGTTGCAAGCAGGTTGCCTTAGTTGATTGTTTCCACGTCATCGATGTCGGGTGGTATTCACGGATATTTAAAAAAAGTCGTTGCCTCATGTAAATTTCTGTTACCTCGTTTTTCAGTTGAGTATTTGAGTGAGGTTCCTCGGAAAAGATTGTATAAGGCTGTGTGCGATACTGTGTTTCCTGTACCTCTATACAGAGCCTTATACTGTGCAGGCCCAGGGCAAGATGTCTTGAAGCGCGTTAAGCGTATGGTGGTGCCCGCAGGCACCAAGACTTTCTTCTTTACATTACATTCAGGTACACTGCCGGTCAAGACATGGCTAAACGAGAGGGGACTTTTTGTACCGTGGGGGGATCACTGCTTTTTATGCAAGAAGCCAGAGACGGTCGAACACGTGTTTCTTGAGTGCTGGGATGGGGTCTTCTTCTGGGACGTCCTCCAACGTACCCTGAAGAAGGACCTCCCCCTGGATGCGAATGAAATCCGTTATCTATCGGTTAAAAACGAGGAAGGTTTTCCCTTTGACCTGGTTATGCTGTTGGGTCTGCACAGTATTTGGAAGTCCCGAATGGCTCTACACAACGCTGACAATAATGTACGGGAGGCGCGGGAATATTTTCGTGAAAGTGTATCTCTGTTAGTTGAAGTCAACAGAGCACAGAAGTGCGAGCCTGAGTGGCTTCCGCGCATTGAGGCACTTTTGTCCATGAAACAATTTTAGCCTCCGACGCCAGTCACTTCGGACTGGTTTAGTTTAGCCTTGCCCTGCTTCCTATGGTTTGAGCGATATGCCTGCCTGTTTGACAATGTAAAAAAACCCGGCAATAAAGAAAAAAAAAATCGGTGGCCGAGTGCGCTGAGGCGCACACCCAGCTCGACGCGCGTGGAGCGAATGCTCGCGCTGCAGAACCCAGGGATCCTGGGTTCGAGCCCCCCCCCTGCCCGTTTCTATCTGGATGAGCATCGTACCGGCGTGCGGTCGTGTATCACTACTGCGTGGTGCACGTTAAAGACACCAGGTTAGCATTCGTACTGCACTGGCAAAATTGCTTATCTACAGTGTAAACCAGTGTCGCCCCTACTGGCAGACCAACCTTACGCTGTATAAATCACTAAAACGTCCAATTTGACTTTGACTTTGATCAAAATTGTTTTTATTTTTGTTTTCTGGATAAGTGTACGGAAAAACTAACGTGAAAGTAAAATGTAACGGAACGAGTAAAATTATCCGTAACTTTTCAGCGAAAGTGATTTGTAACGGTAATTGATTACATTTGAGGCTCGGTAATTCGTAGTCGTAATCCATTAAATTTTTAAGTAACGAGCACAAGTCTGCCTATAATCGGCTGAAGTTCACGTGGCCGCTTGTTTGTTTTGGCTACGAATCGAGGGAGTTAGAGCTACTTGTTTTTCTCGAACTTGTTCCGCGAATGCCCTTGCGCGAAAAAAAAAGGAAAAAACTAACACGAGTTTTATAGGCTATGAATGTCAATGAACAGTTCTAAGCGGTATTTACCAAAAGTACAAAAATTGTTGCATCGCCTCCTTAACTTTGCAACATGTATTGACGTTTACGATAAAAGAGAAAGGCGGATCATTTGCCGATGGCTTATTCTTCTGCGCTTCTTCAGCCTGTCCTTGAGCGCTTGTCACCTCTACAGCTTCCTCGTCTTTGCTGTTTGGGCGCTGTTTGCAGCCTAAGTATGGTGTCTGAAGCACGTCTTCGACTGGTGTGTTTAGCGTCCTATCCCGCCCATACATCAAAAGTGGTCCCGATGAGGCAACAAATGACGCGAGTGTCATGCTGTTGCCTGTCGCGATCCTTGCGGTTGGCCGTAGAAATGCTGGCAAAAAGCACGAGTGAACGCGAGTGTCGCTGTCGTCACGGCGTCCCGTTAGGCGTCCCAACTTCCGGCTGCACTAGCTTCCGTGAACTGTCACCGTGGAAAGCGACCTGCAGCAGAACAGGCATCTGCTACGTACACCATAACTGTTGGGACGCCACCAGGGTCGCGACCGGCGACAGCATGACACTTCTATGACGTCATCAGGCGGAAATCGAAGGACCACTTTTGTGGCCGCGGTAAACACACCAGTCAAAGACGCGATCCAGGCACCATAGCCTAACTCCCCAGCCGCTGTGACTCCACACGCTATCCTTCGCATCGCCCCACGACTGTGTGCTACTTACGCTAAGGTGCGGCTTAATTGCGTAGGAACTTTTGTTTTTAAGAAGCGTTTAGGCGGGTGCGACTTCCAGACCAGGAATTTCGGTATATCAAAGTTTTGAGTCATACGAAGTCTTTCAATGTTAGCTCACAGACGGTGCAAGCGCTCTAGTGTGTTCTCTCGCTCTAAGCTATACAAGCGGGTTACAGCGCTGTCTGTCGCATGCAAACGCGTTAGCCAAAACCAGTTTTCAAGGCTGCATAATGTTTCCACAGGCTGCGCCTGCGGCCGAGAGTACTCCGCAATGTAGCTCAAAGGAGGATAGAAGTAACCCTCCTGGGAGACCAGAAGCTGTCCATGCCGGTTGGAATCTCTCCAACGGCGTTCCAAAAAATGGCACATCCGGACGGAGAAATTGCCGTAGCGAAGGGTGAGTGAAAGAGACGGCATCTGCTAAGTGATTCAGTCACACGTTGTAGTGGGTGATGTAAGGAGCTATTCTTCTTCAAAGACTCATGTAAACTATAATGCCTCAAAGCATGTAGTTGACAGGCAGCTTATAACCTTGTTAATTTTGATGGTTTTTGCCATCACGCGATACTCATTTCATTCTTTCTAACGAGTGATAGGTAAATTTTAAATCCCCCGCACGTGTGACGCGCGATGACTTTTTTTTTAAGTTGACAGTGACTTAGATACTACCAAAATATTTTCCAGGCTTCTTTTACAGCCTGTAGCTCTGCTGCAAGGCCCAATATTATTTTGGTACAGTCACGCGATTGCCCAAGCGCGCGTATTGTACCATGCTAATTGTTAAATGCTGACTACCTAACTAGAGATCTCTATCAATCTAATAAAAGCCCGTGCGTCTACTTTCCCACACAACACACGGAAAGCCATTCACCCAATTTAAGGAGGCACTTCAGAGAATGACGATGACAAAACATATATTTAGACCAAAAAACGCTCTCTGAGGTATGACAATGCAAAACGTCACGCTTGCATTGCTGAATGTCACAACTCAGGCTGCGTTTTTTTGGTTTAATAATATGTTTTGGCATCGTAATTCGCTGAGCTGCTTCTGTAAGTTCCGATGATTGGCTCTCCGAGTGTTGTGCTGGAAAGTAGAGGCACGGGCTTTTTTTAGAAGCCTCTCTTCACTTGTTGACGTCACGGCTATTTGCCAGAGCACAAGGGTCTAAGAGACTAGGTTTCTTATTTAAAACAGCGGCAAAGATTGAGAGCGTCCGTCGGCCTGCATTTGATTTTATGAAAGTCGGAAAAATAAATTGAGCGTTCCCTCGAAGGGCGCCTGGCACTCACCCCTTCAACCTACTCGTCATTTACCCGCACATCACTCTTGCTGCCTTTGCCTCGATCTCCGTAGGTATCTTCTCAAGCGATGAGGCCAAGAATGATTTTGACGCGTATCAGCATGTGAAATGCCACGCAAAAGGAGGAGTCGCTGATTTGATTTTCAGGAGAAGCCCTAAAAAGTTCTGTGGTTTATTTCACTCTAAGTGTGACCGCAACCGACGCTATGATTCGCTTGAGCCAAGATAGCAGCGTCAAAAGGGAAAATCACGGCGCGCGTCGTGTTTGTCTTTTTCGCTCAACAAGGTAAATGGGCTTAAGCGATAAACTGGTGTCCTGTTCACCAAGCAAAAGTGACCCCCCCCCCCCCTCCCCCCCTGGCTGCCGCCATGTTGTAAAATTTTGACCACTAGACACGTAACCATACCGAATTCCGAGGACTTCACGCAAAACTTAGCGGAGGTTTGTTATGCTACCGCTTTAAAAAACCGTTATAAGCTATTTCTCGATACTGTTAGCCCCAGGGGCAGGTCCCAGCTCCGCTAAAACCCCAAAATACAGCACCGCGGCTGACGGCACGTAGCAGAAGCATTGCGAAGGGGCCCGAGTTTCGTCAAAAAAGCATATTTTGAATTTAAAAAAAAAATAACTTATTTTGTTGGTACCGTTATTAAAGATCGAAAGGCAATTATCTCTTATCGGTACTTCGTTAAAATCTAGACACAAAAATATAAGCTCACGTGTCTGGTGGTTAAAAATGCGAAACATGGTGGCAGCCGGTTGGAGGTAACTTTCAGCTGCCAGTTTGTCGCTCTAAGCCCCCGAACTCGATGGTTTTTCACACAGCGTTGGACCCATAACCCTTCGTTTCTTTTTTTTTTTTTTGTGTGTGTGTGTGTGTGTGTTTTTTTGTTTTTTTTTTGTTTTTTTGTGCCGGACTGGAGTAGCCGGCGAGATCAAACTAACAAATACGACGAATGTCATCACGGTGCCCTTTTGGCGCTGCTTGATGGGTTTCGTCGGATCGTAGCATTGGCTATAATCCTAACTAATGTAAAACGGAGTAGGGGTGTCCCAATAGCAGACATGTGCGCATAGTGGTTAGAATCGAATAGGAGAGCGTCGTTGCCAGCCTTCGACTCGCAAAAGGAGGCTCTCAATTATAACCGGTTCTCATAAAAGTGTCAAAGCCGCGGTTGACACTGCGCTATAGTCGATCCAAAGCAATATTCGACCACCTCCACTGTAAAAAAAAAAAAAAAAGAAAACAGACGCGTCTCCAGAGTCGTTATTCGTACGAACTTTCTCGGTCCATCGAAGTTAAGTGCCCATACCACCTGGGGTCCCAAACTCGTCAAACACAAAGTTTGGGCAGAAAGTTCCCTGAGCCCGCCGATTGGACGTCGGCGAAAAAAGCGCGAAGTCATCATCGTAAAAGGCCAATCGGTAAGCTTCGTCAACTTCGGCCCCGAGTTTCTGTTTGACAAGTTTAGAGGCCCTGCACTAAACGAAGCCTGCTCATTCTGTGCCCAGTGGTAGCTTCTCCAATAAAATACGCTGAAATGTCGGTACTACGTCGGCTCCTGCTCTCTAGGCAATGTTTCTGTAACCCTCCAAACATGCGGAGAAAAATAAAACCTAAGCATTTTTGCGGAAAGTTGTTGGGAGATCACAGTAGGATTTCTGCTGAAGCCAACTGACTGTCCTACGTCCTCTTGTCGCAGCGGCCCAGGCTGCTGGAACACTCATGACGCTGAGCAGCTTCAGCAACGACTGCCTCGAAGACCTGCAGCGAGGAGCTCCAGGGGGACTCCGCTGGTTCCAGCTGTTCTTGTTCAGGGACAGGGAGTTCACTAGGGACCTCGTGAAACGCGCTGAAAGGTCCGGCTACCGCGCCGTCGTGCTCACCGTCGATATGCCCGTGAGAAAGACGCCTGACTTTGCCAAGATGTCAGACTTCTGCATACCGGAGCACCTCAGGTGTTTAAAACTCCTCAACCTATGTGGCGCCCAACACCTCTTAAACTTACAGAACTGTATAGACTTATGTACAAAGTAACCTGCCCATCCTAAAAGGCACGCATCACCGCACAATGGGAAGACAATCGATTAGCGGAACGGGTTATATACATTATTTGCCAATAATTTGATAATGCAAGTTCAGAAACATCAGAATACACACGCACATACTAAAAAGGCGAATCCACAGCGATTGATTGACTTAGTCAATCGCGCCAATCGAACAAAAAAAAGGCCGTGACATTGCACATGTCACGCTACTTGATAGGCACCATCAACGCGTTGTGTCGCCCTCACTGAGAGTGAAATTAACACAAAGGTCCATAGCTGGTTAAACTACACAAGAAGATGATGCATTAAAATTATACTTGGTTTCGTCGTCAGACAAAACAAGTCGAAATTCGCACTTGGGTCTCTGGACTAGTACAACATAAAGTTGAGGCCGAAACTTTACGAAACGCACCGATTGGGCTTCGGCGACGAAAGCGCGTCGTCGTCGTCGCCCCCGTCTAATCGCCGCGCTTCGTGAACTTCTGTCCAAACTTGGTGTCCGCCGAGTGTAAGCTCCTGAACGTTTCGTTGACGCTTCTTCAGCGCCTTGAAAAGTAGTCGAGACGTAGGCTGCCGCTTTGCGGCTATAGGAAGGTTGCTTTTAAAGAAGGAAAACACTTTTGCAGATAGTTTTTTTTTTTTTTTTTAAGCGAAAGACGGCATGAACGCGGATATTCCGTTTAGCCTTATGTTGTTGTTTTTTTTTTCTTCTTTTTTGTTTTTGGTTTGAACTGAAAAAGATGTCGGAATATGAATCCTGTGAAATAAAATTGAGAACGAGGTAGTACGGAAAATGTCGTTTCGGGCGCCACTTTGTTTTTCTGTTGGAGAACTTTTTTGCTGACCGCTAGTCTAAGCTGAATTCTAGTTTTGCATCAGCAACATCATCCTCTAACTTGCACCAGTAGTTGCAATAATTAACAAATTTAAGGCGATGTGATATCTAAACCAAAGGGGGGCCCAGTGCCTAAGCAAACTATTATCCACCAGCACAAGAAAAATACTCAAAAAACCTTTGTGCTGCCTAAACTTAAAAAAAAAAAGAATTGTTTAAAACGGCTGGAGTTTTGCGCTATATATTAAATTCCCCAGTTCATGGTTCAGCGCATTGCAATGTGGAATTATCCGCAGAATTTTCAGGATAGTAGTGAAAGATTTCTTGACATGTTTGTTGGAGTGGAAAAGTTTGTGAACTTTTAGTTTTTACTTAATAGTTAAAAAACGCATAACTCAGTAAGCTGGTTGAGGTTTGTTTAAGAGCGGTAAACATTAAAAATTTCATGTTTCATTAAACCAGATTAGGGTTGTTCCATATTATACTCATTTGGAAGCTAAAACAGCACGGTTGAAGCTCCGCCCACAGGACAAACGTGGCTCTTTCAGCTCCTTCCACTTTTGAAGAAAAAGTACTTAGCCTGCTCAGCAAGTTCGGCTTCATGTGTGAGCAAAAGGCGTATATCTCGATGATTATAGAGCCAGACGATAAGTTCGTCCTGCCTGGTTTTCGAGCTCGGCGAGGGGTAGGCGAATGCTGTACAAGGTGTAGACTTCGTCGCAGGGAGCCTTCTTGTGAAATTGTGCAGGCAAGTGATATGCTTTTTCAAGCTCGTCATGCGACTGATCCCGACTAAGAGAGGTTAATGGGTTTTTAGATGACTAACGTCTACTTTGAAGGCGTCATTTCAGTACGCAGCCTTCAATGCTCCAGATTAAAAAATATAGAGATGAATTTCAGTGAAACAACTTGGCAGCGTACTGCTTTTCTTGTGTTCTCTTTACTTCAGATAGGTCACTGCAAATAAAATTTGATTCCGCAGAACCGTGTAAGATAACACAAGGCAGAAGTCATTGGAATACAAAGATATGTGGACGGCATTATAAACGAACTGCGGCGACCGTACAAAGCATAGAGAGTCAGAACTCATGTACGAAAAATAAAATATCACACATTCCCAAAAATGCGATAACTCGTCTAGGCTACTTTAGACAACTAGATAAATTCTTGCACGTAAAGCATGGAACGGGTAAGCAATTTACCCGGGGTTAGCAAAGGCCGTAAAACGTCGGCATTGAAAACAATCTTGATCTGGCTGGACGTTTCACGATGCCATATGTTGAAAGAAGTCCGTTCTTAAATTTAGTGAACGTGAACAGCAGGCGTACTCAAATACACTTTGGTGGGGAAGAGGCGTTTCATCACTAAAAAAAAAAATAAAGCGAGACAACAATTTTATCAGCGGGCTACGTACCTGCATCTCTTTCTCTCCGAGGATTGTAAATTTGTTTTGTGGCATCGACTGCCGTCAGCTTACGTCAAAGTGAACTTATATCAGTTGACATAAACACTTATTTCATTTCATTTCATTTATTTACTCTCAAGGCCGAAGCATTACAGAGAGGAGTGGTGAAGCAAAAAAAAAAAAATACAACATGAACATAAACACAGCAGGGAGATTACAAAAAATGGTTGCAGATGGCGCTTTTGAAACGGTTGCTGTCGGTGATTGAAGCGATGGAGGCGGGGAGGTGGTTCCAGTCTGTGCAGGTTTTGGGAATGAACGAGTGGAAGTGCAAATTGGTGCGGCTGCTTGGGACGCCAACCTTGAACTGATGGTCGCTGCGGGACAACGCTAAGTCGCGCCAAAATTCGCCAGTGCGCCGGGACATTGAAAACACGCGTGAACGAGATGGGACGTAGAATGACTAAGATGATGACTATACGCCACACGTGGTTAACAAGGAGCAGCGATTCCCTGATGAGTCAAACGCTGTCTGCTAATCCCACACGCAAATTGCGACCCCATTTAAACGCTGGTTCCTACGCTTGTGTTTTGTTGCAGCCGAGTGCGTTGGGCAGCCTTCTAGTCCCTATCGACGAAAGAATACAGTGTCCCGCTGGCACCATCTATGATGTTGCCATGAAACGGCATTTAACTATATATTGAAGGTTTTTGTTTAATTTGCGAGATATCATGTTCGTACGACCCATGGAAAATGGCGGTTTGTAACATTGCCAGAGTTTGTTGTAAACCAATGGGAAAGATAACGCGCAAAATGTTAAGAAATATACGAAAATCGCAAGTATTTAAGAGCTACTCCATGGAGGGTGCCAGTATGTTATCTCGTCGTAAGGGAGCAGAAGGCTGCGTAACGCCTTTGGTTGCAACCAAACGCAAGCCCGTGAACTAGCCTCAGCTTGTTTCATAACCGGCGTTTTTACCTGAACCATTGCAGACTCGGGTACTGCACTTCTTTATCAGTCAGTTAAACTTCGCTCTCAAGTCCTGGAAGCTGAGACGCACCTGGAAACACGTCCAGGAGTGTCGCTTTACCGACTCTACTTTTATCGCAGACACGGCAACTTTTTGGGAATCTCCAGGCACGAAGACGCAAACCCAAAAGTGGCGGGCTATGATGACCTCCACGATCCTTCCGTCACCTGGGCGGACGTCACGTGGTTGAGAAGCATCACGAAGCTACCTGTGGTTGCCAAAGGAATTTGTACAGGTTCGTTGTTCTGCACACAACTGTCCACTGGCGGTTATTAGGAATGGATCACCGAACGGCAGGTAACATAATTAGAGATGGCGAAGTGACAGAGGTGCAACAGGTGGAATGTCTAAATAGATGCAATATTGAGGATGAACCGATAAAAAAAATATGCGTTTACTTTTTTTGCAGAATTCGTAGACCGACAAATACGGCTAAAAATGCAAACAATCCCAGCAAATGAAAAATGTTCAAAATCTTATTTGACCAAAAAATTTTAAAAAATTGCAATTTGCGGCGGGAATGAAACATTGCGCTCCTTGTCCTATCACACAAAACATTTGATTTTGTCCCCTAGTATCCTGAGCTTTGTAATTCGGTAGGATCCTTGTAATTGTTCATCGTTATAGGAAGCTTTGGAGCTTTGTAGAAAAGTGAACTTACAGATGGTTTCTTGAGTGCAGTGGCAGGTAATCCACTCCGGAGAAGCCAGTCGCAGACAAACACCGAGGGATTTCACTAAGTCTGCTCTTAGTAAATTAGGAACCGTAATTCCGCTCGGAGTTTTCATATTTAATATACTTTTATTATAGTCTACCTCTTGTTAGATACTAGGGATGCCAAAAATGCTATCTGATTTCACAAGGCAGGATTAGCCTCGTATACCTGCTTTATTTTTGCACACTGAGGAAAGAGTAGAAGGCAGACAATGTCTGGCTTTTCGCCGGGGCTTTTTATTGTCAGATAAAAAAATTTATGTAAATGAGTCCTTTTACAGATAAAATTTATCAGTGTACTCCTCTAGAACGCATTGATTACTTATGAACTACTTTTAAATGCTTTTGTTCATTAGAAACCTTTTTATCTAACACAGCCAAAGATGCAGAGGAAGCCATTCACTACGGAGTTTCAGCGATATTGGTTTCTAATCATGGAGGAAGACTCCTGGATGGATTACCTTCGACAGTACGTTTTGGTCACTTTTTTATAGGCTAAGTTTTTTTTCATACGCTGTTGGCTATTTAGGAGTCTGTAGTGTAGGAGTGGTAATGATGTTGATGAGAGTTTTAGTGGCGCAGCAACAACGGAAATTATAATGCGCCAAGCTTGACATATTTAGGTCATATTAAAAAGACAATTAAGCCAACGGCTAAATAAAAATCTTGACGGATATTACGTGTTTTTAAATCACATTTATTACAAGTTGGAGGTGAACTGAAGTCGGGGTCACACTGCTTATACATCATACAAAAGAGCCTGCATACAGATTCAGATGCGAGTCACCGCGAGACTTGTGCTTCGAGTGCCGCATGGCAATGCGTTCAAGGAACAGATTTAGCACGAGGCATTCGAATGACAGATATTACAGTGACTCGTGTTTGCAGATTTTCATAAGGATTCTCGCACGACAAACGCATGGTGTGGAATGCGGAAATTCATCGTCGGATACCATTAGTAAATAGCGTCCCTCTACAACGGAAACGCAAGTTGGCATGTCATAAAACAGTGCCCGCTTAGTAAACCTTTGCAGAAGAAATATCGGCTGTCTGAACAATTTAATATTATAAAAAAAAATGCTGGCAAAATGTCTTTTTGCTTTGGAGGATTTAGGAGCAATCTCAATATTGTACCAAGTAGCTGATTTCTTTGGACCGAAATTTGTTTTGTGTTTGGCAATAACCCAACTTGATACTTTTCTTTGGTTAGAATTTAGATATATTGGGCACAAGCTGCAGAAGCGCCACAGTTAGGCTCCACCTTTCGTTGTTCAGAAACGTAGCCTGGCAACTTTGTACCTAAATAGTCAAAGGCATGCAAGTATGGGGCTTTACCTTTCAGTTTTTCAGTTGCCATCTGAATGTTCCAGGCTACAACTCCCAAGAAAATATCAGAATCCAGTTTCATTGCTGGTTGTTTTGGGTTGTCGCATGATATTTTTGGCTTATATATCTGGCATTTTGGCAATTATGTGGCAATCAACACTAAAGCTACATGGGACATTTCACCGTTTATCTGGCTAAAAAAAAGTAATTTGGCCGTAATTACCACTTTTATAGAAGAACCTTATTAGATGCAAGTTAGGTCCATACGAATGCCAAACTTGGGCCAAGCTAGGGTTTTCACCGGTGTGCGACATGTGAATAATGCATTCATTCAGACTTCGCCTACAGGCGTTATAATTAAGAGCAGCATGGCAGCTCTTGATTTCTTGAATGGAAGTCTATTTTGTCTTTTATCGAAAACGGTCAAGATAGCAGATGACCCTAAGTCAATTTTTTTATCCTATAATCATCGTCGACACATGCTTATCTCTGGAATGTCGTGCCCACCACAGTGCCGTTAGCGTCACAAAACCCCGTTTAAAAGTTGTCGTCGATGGAATTTTCGTTCGTTTACAGGCAGAAAGTTTCATCTTATCAAAGCAATGCTGGTCGGCAATTTTCGTTTTGGTGCTCTGCATTACCATCTTGTACATTCTTGCCTCTATGAACTCAACGTAATGGGGAAAGAACACAAATTTAACACGTTAGAAATTAGAATAAAATGATATAAAAAGCTACACATATGCAATAGGTGCTTATTATTAAATTTCAGCCAACGTTAGATTATTTGCGCAGTTTTGAGTTAATTGAACGTCTTGCGAACGCCTTTGTTGAACTTTTCGCTGCGTAGGAATATTAACCTTCAGTGCTCCGTACAAGGAAACTAACTGACTTGTAATGTGATGCGTGTTTGAGGTGTGCGGTATGTTCCATGCAAGTTAACAATTTGTTCTTCTTTTAAATCGGTGGCGAGTGTGCTAAGTGTGCTAACCTACCGAAGCTCGCTGCAGGTGGACGAAAGCTCGTACTGCTGAACCCAAGGGTCTAGGGATCAATTCTCCACACCTGTCCGTTTCAATTTGGTTAAGCACCGTACCTGGCGCGGCCGTGCACAATCACAAAGCGTGATGCATGCCAGAAAATTTGGGCTTGATGTGATACTGCACTGCTCAAATTTCTCATCTACAACGGAGACGCCTGATGCCCATTTGGAATTTTCAGCTTACTAACTTCACGCCGTCTAAACATACACGCAGCACAATTACTGTTCAATATGACAACCACACTTGTCTCGCTCTGCTTGCAGATCGAAGCCCTCCCTGATATCGTGAGTGCAGTCCGTGGCCGAGTCGAGATCTACATTGACGGCGGAGTCCGTCGAGGCACTGACGTGGTCAAGGCGCTGGCTCTCGGAGCCAAGGCAGTGTTTATTGGACGCCCAGCCCTCTGGGGGCTAGCGTACAACGTGAGACGTCGCATTTTTTTGGTTCATAAGCTCAGTGCTTCCAAGGTCAAACGTTTTCGTACTTTCAATAAAAGTGACACTGCAATTTAGACTAGGATAAGGACGCAGTAAAAAACTGCTCCATCTATCAAGTGTTGATTAGCTTCTTTTTTCATTTGAAGAGGACGGTGTTTCATTTTTGCCTCGGAATGTTATTTTCCATAAAATAACCTATTTGCTATTAACCACAACCTTGTGGCAAAGAGTCTTTAGCATTCAACCAAACACAAAACGACAGTCTTTTGCGATTAGACATTAGGAAGTCCTGTAGCCCATACGAAATTCCTAATGCTTTTGTACATAAGTATGCTGAATGGCGTTCCAAGTTTCTTTTTTGGATTTACTTTTCTAGTTTAAAAACGGGTGAGGTGCTACTAGACTGGAAAGTAGTTATCGTAGTGCCCATATATAAGAGTGGCGAAAAAAAGAGTTTTTGCAACTATAGGCCAGTGTCGCTTTTAAGTACGTGTAGCAATGTTCTCAAAAATTTTATTTTTAAGCATATCATAACTTTCCTAGAATCAGAAACGTTCTTAGTTGATGAACAGCACGGTTTCCGACGAGGATACTCGACAGTGACTCAACTTCTTCACACGATCCACAACTTTGCCTCAGCCATCGACAATGACGGTTAGGTTGACACTATTTTTCTAGATTTAGCGAAGGCGCTCGATAGAGTTTCGCATAGGAAGTTATCACATAAGCTGAAGCAAGTACTTGGCAATGAATATCTCCTGAGGTGGCTGGATTCTTACCTCACAAACCGCAAACAGTTTGTTTGTGTGGGCAAAGCTGAATCCACTGAGTTACCTGTTCTTTTTGGAGTGCCTCAGGGCTCGATGCTCGGTCCGCTGCTGTTTTTGGTTTTTATAAACGACGTGCGAGTAGATAAGCCCTCTATACAATGTCGTTTTTTCGTTGATGACTTTGTATTATTTTCCCAGATATCTAGCGTGTCAGATCAAAAACGTTTAGATGACAGCGTTAAAAATATTTTTTGATAGTGTCAGAAGAGGCAAATGAATTTGAATGTTAAGATGTGTGTGCAAATGTTTATAACGCTGAAAAAGGTTCCCCTTTTCTTTTCCTGTACCATTCACTCAAACGCTTTAGAAGTAGTTGATGAGTATAAATACCGAGGTGTTACAATCACGTCAAGCTTATGTTGGGCTCATCACGTTGGACAGGTTATTGCAAAAGCGTCCAGTCAATTGTGGTCGTACCGAAGGGCTATGACCCACTGTACAGTCCCCCGCAATATGAAAGACCCACTGGGAGCGCCCGGCCGAGGCTGTGGCTCGCGGGGGCGTTGCGTGCGCTTCGGGCAGTTCCATTCTGCTTCGAGGGGAGGATGCTCACTCGAGGCTCAGTCAAAGCACAACGCGCTTATCAGTTTGTGCTGAGTTCCGAGTGAGTGTCCTCCCCTCGAAGCAGAATGGAACTGCCCGAAGCGCACGCAACGCCCCTGCCAGCCACCGCCTCGGCCAGGCGCTCCCAGTGGGTGTTTCATATTGCGGGGGAGGATGCTGACTCGAGGCTCAGTCAAAGCGCAACGCGCTTATGAGTTTGTGCTGAGTCCCGAGTGAGCGTCCTCCCCTCGAAGTTGAATTGAATTGCCCGGAGCACTCGCAGCGCCCCCGCCAGCCACCGCTTCGGCCACGCGTTCCCAGTGGGTCTTTCATATTGCGGGGGCTGTACTTCTGAGACGGAGCTCACGGCGTATAAATCTCTAACCCGGCCTCTGCTGGAATATGCTGATATATTATGGGACCCTCATTCACAATCGCATGATGATCAGTTGGAAAGCATTAAAAAATCTCTTAGATTTATTTATAATTCGTACGGCAAAGACTAACGTGTGACACGGTTGTATGCAGCATCCGGTCTAACCGAGTTATCACGTAAAAGGAAATTAAAACGTTCGAAATTTTTGCATAACATAATGCATGATAAAGTTGCTTTGAAATTTGACAGGTATCTGCAGTATAATGATAGCCGTGATACAAGGCAGAAACATGAAAAACTACTGTGAGTTTCGTTGCAAGAAAGATGTTTTTAAACATTCAATTTTTCCTCGAACCGTGTGCGAGTGGAACGCGTTGTCTCACAGCCTGACAGCTTTTGTTTCTGCTGCTTCGTTTGCTAGTGCAATCGGCGAGCTTTTCTTTGTTGCCAATGAATAAGTTACCTGTTTGTTTTATTTCCATGTCTGTATTTACGCGAACTAGCATTCTCTGACGTTATCCTTCCACCACCATGCCTTGACCCTAAAAAGTTGGCCGGTAGTTTTCTCAAATAAATGAATTAGGAAGATCAAATATTAGCTCTGATATAAAGTGTCCGCTTGCAGAAACAGAACCTCATTAGACCCATGATAGCCCCTAAAAGATGTTTATTGAACTTTAACTCGTCTATTATTTTGTTTAAATCAAGAGTCTAGTTCTTCTAAAGATGCTTAAAAGAAAAAAAACTTTTCTTACTATGAGTCAGATTCTCTCTCATTTATATATTGAAGAAATCTTCATGGACTCAGTCCCTCTAATTGAAGGATATGACAGGGACATGCTTAACGGAAGTAGCCCTAAGCCACAGTTGCAACACGATACTTTCGGACAACATTCTGAAGCCGTTCAGTCATGGGCGCACGTGCGTCCGGGCATCTTAAACACCCATCAGAGCAGCACACGTGCACTCTTCACTATTTCTGAAATAGCTATTTGAGAGTATAGCGTGGCAACTGCGGAAACGCGTATTAGCAGTTAAACGTGAGTTAATCGCGGTTGAGGTTGCCCATGTCACACCAGTATAAGTCAGTTAAATAAGTAATACAATTGTACGAAAGTAAGCGTGCTGTTGTTTTATGACATGACTGACAAAATATTTATTACATTGAAACTACTTCGTCGTAGTAAGTGATACTGGATTACCACTTTCTTAAGTCATCCGAGGCTGGGTGGAGAACAAGAGTAATCCTTAGTGGAAGAGAAAGGAACATAACGACAGAAAGAAACGATTGCCATTTGTGAAATGCCTAATATTTGTAAGTGTGACGCAGCCTTCTGTCGCTTTGTTTCTTCCTCTTTCACTTTATTTTTTTTTTTTTATTATTATTATTCCGAACCCCATCTTATTTAGTTTGAGAAAGTTGTAAGTCTACACAGGTTCACATACGCCGTCACGGTTCGATTAAAATCAATAAAAGTGACACTGCAAACTTTCGAAGAAAAAAAAAAGACAAAACAATGTTTGTGATAGAAGTAAAATTAGTTCCGCCAAATAGATGAAAAAGTCTAAATTTAATATACAGCGTGTTCTACTGGACAAAGAAATAGGAACTACGAACTCTGGACAAGGGACGCGAACATGCCCTCTAGTCGAAACGATATGTGATCGTTTTTCCTGTGAAAGACATGTTTGTCGTCTGTTGTCTGCAGTTTGTAATATTGTTTCTATGCCATGTTAAGAATTAAACTATTCTAGAATTCTATGACTTACATTTTATGTGAGTATATAAACTTACTCAATTTCCTGTCCCTCAGCCATCAGTAACATGTCACACTCGACACCTTTGTAGCCCTGCGGTTCTTCTCCAATCTTCGTAAACAGTACGCTTTTTAAGTTATGGTATCACACTCATTTCTAGGCTGCCATTGATATGTATACCTATACTTGTCATCGCCTGGGGAGATTAGAATTCCTGATGCGTGTACTAAAACCCGCAGGGTGAAGCGGGCGTGCGCCAGGCGCTCGAAATCTTCAGGGAGGAGCTGGACCGGGCTCTCGCATTGATGGGTAAGTCGAAGTTTTTGTTCGAGAGACATGTAAAGCACTATTGTTACTTACGGGCCTATAGTCACTGATAGATTAAGAACGGCAGGGCGTGTCTTTCGAACAACTGGCCTTCAGCACGCACTTCATGACTTCGGCGGTGCTTTTGCTGCGCGCGTAATCTCGAGGTGCACGAGACATGGAACCCTGTTCGTGCCGTTCTCAGCTTGTCACTGACTATAATCTGACCATCAGAACAAACACCGATTTCCAATCACCGGCAAAACAAGGTAAGCTTTGCCTTCTTTCCTCAGTACAAGTAGGCTTCCGTAGTGAAGCGTATGCACAAAAGTGTTTCATTGTCACCCGATGATGAACATAAGCACATTTATGAAAGTGGGGGAGGGGAGGCGACCCCCCCCCCCTCCCCCTCACCCCCCCCCCCCCCCGAGCACCTCCAAGGTCAACTCTATTGTATTAAAAACTGACGTACACCGGTTCTTTTTTCTTTTTTTTCAGGAAGAAATTATTCGTTTTTAGTGACATAACAACTACGAAGTCGACAAAACAGGTCTGCGAAATGTTCCACATAATCCGCCCCTAATGGTGACCCTCGTAGAAAACGGTTTCTTAAGAAAGTGGGGTTTTACGCGTACGCATAAAGTGAGTGTTTGGTGATCTGGTGTGTCACCAGGCACGATAGGTTGAAGAATAAAGGAAACTAAAAAAGGGCTCAGCGGAGCTGGCTTAAGATTATACATGCCTGGTTCAGCGGTGGCACGGTTCCACTTCTGTCCCTTCGTCGAGACATTTTGTGCGTCAGCTTCTGCTCAATATGTTTCTGAAGGCGCTAACACAGCGCAACTAAATCCTAAAATAAAAATACGGTTCTCGAACAAAGATTGGGCGTTTTTGTTCCTTGAATGACGGCCTCGTCACCCTAGTCACAAAACCGTGCGTTCACACATGTTTGAAGGATATACAAGTACAAAGCAGGCATACTGGGAACATGCCGCGTCCGAAGATTACAATGCCGCCATGTCTGCACATAACACATTGTTTTTATGACGTATGAGTAGTAACACTTCGGGTTAACTGTGCGCACAACCTTGAAATATGGGAATAATAGCAAGCGAGCGCTTCCCGGACCCTCTCCTGCCGCACAATGCTGAGTCTCCATCGCTAAAACACACGGTCACACCTATATATTCCTCGCATTGCCGTCATATGAGCTGCTTGCTATTGGGGTGGACGCTATACTGGGTGATTTTCCTCAGCAGCATATATAAGTTGCCTTTTTGTTTTGTGAGAATAAGTAAGAATGACCATCAGCACGATTCGATGACGTCACGTTCATGCCACGTATAAAGCTACTAACCAGAAAGTATTATATTGAAAAAAAAAACATTTGACAAACAAAAAAATGAAAGCCGTTTACAACTCCCTGTAACGCCGAATTAGAGCGCAGCTCTTGAGGAGGAGGAGGGAAGGGTACTGGGGGAGTGGGTCAAGTGACCTCGGGGGCGGGGGGTCACGTGACCTTGGCGGTCACGTGACCTTGTGGGAGTCACGTGACCTTGGGGCGTCACGTGACGCCGGGGGGTCACGTGACCTGGGGCCACGTGACGATGCAGATGACGTCATCAGCGACGTCACTGATGACGCCATCAGTGATGATGATGATGCGGATGCCAGTGACGTCATCAGTGACGTCACTGATGACGTCATCAGTGACTATGACGTCAACGGGGGGTCACGTGACCTGGGTAACCATCGTGACCCTCGTGAGGGTAACCCTAGTAACCCTCGTGAAGGTAACTCTCGTGACCCTTGTGAGGGTAACTCTCGTGACCCTCGTGAGGGTAACTCTCATAACCCTCGTGACCCTCGTGAGGGTAACCCTCGTGAAGGTAACCCTTTTGAGGGTAACTAACCCTCGTAACCCTCGTGAGGGTTACGAGGGTAAGTAACCCTCGTGAGGGTAACCCTCGTGAAGGTAACCCTTTTGAGGGTTACTTACCCTCATAACCCTCACGAGGGCTACGAGGGTTAGTTACCCTCAAAAGGGTTACCTTCACGAGGGTTATCCTCACGAGGGTTACTTACCCTCGTAGCCCTAACCCTTTTGAGGGTAACTAACCCTCGTAACCCTCGTGAGGGTTACGAGGGTAAGTAACCCTCGTGGCCCTCGTGATCCTCGTGAGGGTAACCCTCATGAGATTAACCCTCGTAACCCTCACGAGGGTTACGAGGGTTGCGGTTGCGCCGACGGCGACGCCGACGCCGACGCCGACGCCGACGCCGACGCCGCTCAAGCCGGGAACGGGCCCCTAAGAGCTGCGCTCTAAAAGGGAACTTTCCGCGGTTTGCTTTTGCCATCGAAACAAGGACGAACGCGCTAGTTGTAGCTCCTTTTCAAATTTGCGCAATGCTGGATGGTTTAATTCAAGCGGACGCATACCATAGGAGGCGATGGAACTGAAGAAACTAGCCTATCAAGCAACGTACCAGCAGGCCCCAACATTCGTCTAGCATATCGGACACCCCAATTAACTGATGCCAGCTATCCGAATCCTGGAGTATACAAAAACATATTGCATGTAAGATGTTGACAACCAAATGGATGCTAGAGATAACCAAGCCTCAGGGTTGAATTTTCCGTGTCATCTCAAAAAGGTCAACGTTGGGCAGAGCGGTTGATGAAAGCCTTGTCAGCGTTCCGCTGAGACTCCTGTTAAAGGGGTCCTCCGGCGAAGTTTTTATGATCCACGATTTGCTTGAAAATTTTCTTAACACAAAAACGAACATCGCTGGAGTAGTATCCCAAATATTGGGTCAAAATATTTGTTTTGTTTTTTACGAAGTTATTGAATTTATAATTTCGGTCTTCACCGTGTTTTTCAAACTGATAGTCTCTACTGGCAACAAGGAAAAAGTGATGCCAGTGGAAGGCATAATGTGTTCACTCTTTGGACTGTAGATTTGATTCCCAATGAATTCCAAGCATTTTCATGGTGACGAATAAATGCTTTGGAAGCCCGCTCCTGTACCCGTTCACCAGCATAGACCAAATGCTCGGCATAGTCTATTTTGTAGACTTCATTCTCGACTGGCAAGCCTGCCTTCCATTGACGTCACGGCACTGAAAAGTGCTGGTATATTTGAATGTTGGTTTTTGGAACATGTTTATTTGCCGATTTCACCATAACTATCACGAATTTCTGGATACTAAATAACATACCGGAAAAGGGTGAACGCCGGGGATCAAAAAGATACAGATAGTTGGGCTAGCTAAAAAAAAATCGCATGAGTGCTTTTCTAAATAATTAAAACTATCGGTCCATGTCTAACGCTATAGCAGAAGTCGACCAAAATATGTGACCCTCGTTGGCCTTCTTTAAAAAAAAAAAAATATCAACGCTACAATCTTTTTTTTTGTCTTTTTTCGAAAGGTCTCGTCCCGATACGACCCGTCGTAATGTGAAAGATGTGGTGGTTTCCGTGTGGGCCTATTTGGTGTTTCGAGAAGACCCGGAAGCCAGCGTCTCTGCGCAGACCATGTACTACGTTTCACACCATGTCCGACCGGATCCCACGCCACTATCTGACGGAGCCAATTATGCATTGCCAAAAGAGCCACGTCACGACGCTGGTCGGTTTTGTTGGTTGGCTACCACCGGCTAAACCAGCCAAGCAGAAAAAAAGCCAGGATTACGGCACATTAACCGTGCGTGGTTGCTTTAGCCGGTGATGACAAATAAAAAAAAAAAAAACGAGCGCCATTACCAGGGATTTTTGGGCCGCTCAGTTGGGTCAATCGGGGGGTAGCATATCGTAGCAGTCCACGACTCGTTGTGAAGCGAAGTATCCACATCGCGGTGCAAAACTTAAATGACGTATTGGAAATTGTCAACTAGTGGTGGCATACGCGCCTAGTTGAGTGTAGTGTAAGTTTCCGCATAATAAAGTAACCAATTAATTTTGGTGCCTTAATATTCGGATCATATATGGTCCACTTGAGGCGTACAGTCCGCCGGGGTAAGTTTTGAATCACAAAAATAAATAATGACTAATATAGCACACGCCCGGTACATTGTCTCTACCCTGTACACGATTCGCATGTCAGGCGCATACTCTAGCAAGTGAGGTGAGGCGATCACTTGCTTCTCCTAGCGGCCGTATGCGGTACAACGCTTCATGCCTCGTCTGTAACTATAACCGCGGTATTATCTGAAGTAGATTTCCTGTATAGGCTCCCTACGGGAGCCACATTTGCGCATTCATCTCCGTAGCGCCGTCTTTCCTGCACGGCATGTTGATACTCTCGTCACGCGACTAAATTCGGCAAATAGCGGCTCCGCGGCGCGCTCAAAATCGGGGGAACGTACGCCGGGGCGCGTGCAACATCTACTTTCCTGCACGGCACTTGATCCGGCTCCTCACATGATCGGATCTTGGCGAATAGCGGCGCGGCGGCACGTGGAAAACAGACGCGCATCTCTGGCTCCCCTAGGGAGCTTATTAGCGGCGAGATGTTTTGGTGGCGCCCTCCCATGGTTCCCCCTTGTGACGTCATTACCTGGCCAACAAGTTCGATGGTGTTTGTAAATAGCATGGTGGAAGCTTGAAATCACTGAGCTCTTAAAGCAACACTGCCAACACCGTCAAAATTAAAGTTCTTTCATTCCTCCTACTTCCGTCGATGATAAATCCCCTTTCCGACGTCGTAGTCAGCGTTCGGCCAATCGTGGAAGGCCGACCACAGCGACGCTTTCGGTCGCGCACGGGGCTAATAGGGAGTATTCACTGGACGCCATATTTGTAAGTGCTGTTTAGAGCGCATGCTCAGAACGAGCTCACATCAATAGGCTGCTAAGACCGGCACTCTTGATGGTACGGATCGCACGATGCAAAAGAACGGTGGAAGCTCGCCACCAGCACGCGCTCAGCATTCGCGCACACGGCTATGGCCACCAGTGAATACTCCCTATACAGGTACTCTAGTTTGAAGCTGCCAGCAGCGCACAAAACGGAGAGGAACAAATAATTATTCCGACATTGGCTTCTAACTAAAACCAAATAATGTAAGGAAAAAATCTTCGTGAAAAACACCGCGAAAGGAATAAGGACAAAAAGGAAGGAGTACAAAAGACAATCGCTGACTAACAACTGATCTTTTTATTTGAATGCTTAGATGGCAGTACGTTCTCCCAGGCAGAGGGCGCACCGTGGATTCTGCACTTCTTTCGTCTTCGTTTCACAGTTCACGTGTTAAGCAAGATCCAGAAAATGAATCTCACTGTTCGCTAGAGTCTGTGGAGGTTGGCTCAGGCACGATGGCTAGTTTTTTTGTTGTGTAATAGGTTTTCTTCATTTCTCTACACGTTTGGTTTTAGTGCTTAAACAATATGGTGGGGGATCGGTGGACGAGTGGGCTAAAGCGCACACCCAGCTCGACGCGCGTGGGGCGAAAGCTAGCGCTGCAGAACCCAGGGATCCTGGGTTCGAGCCCCACACCTGCCCGTTTCGATCTGGATGAGCATCGTACCGGCGCGCGGTCGTGTGTCACTACTACGTGGTGCACGTTAAAGACCCCAGGCTAGCGGTTGTACTGCACTGGCTAAATTGCTCATCTACAGCGTGTGACTCGTCGCAACTTTAAATGGCTGACCAACTACACGCTGTATAAATATCCCGATAACCCGATTTGGTGGTGTGGGAGAACCTCGGCGAGAACCGAGCGATGCGCTCGCATTTGTTTGCCTTTGTGCCGGTTCACCACGGAGCATGATCATCCTAGTTTGTTGTGTGCAGGAAAAACCACGTTCACTCCACCTGTGCAGAAGGCTCGCCACCTATGTGATCCACGTCATCTGTGTAAAAGGCACGGTTAATAATATTGTATTGGGGTTGTGTGGATATTAAAAAAGCGTGTAGTTGGAAAACCATTTTAAAGTCATGACGAGTCACTCGCGGTAGATGAGAAATTCTGCCAGTGCAGTGCAATCGCTAGCCTGGAGTCTTTAACGTGCATCATGTAGTAGTGGTACACGACCGCACGCCGGTACAATACTCATCCAGATCGAAACGGCCAGGGGTGGAGATTGAACCCAGGATCCCTGGCAACGTTACATCCCTAGGTTCTGCATCGCGAGCTTTCGCTCCATGTGCTCCACGCTGGTGTGCGCTAGCCCACTCGTACGTTCAGCCTTATCCCTTCCTCGTGCTGGCAGTCCTATATTGGGCCACAGCCGGACTGGAAGCGCGCGCTCTCTTTCTCTTCTTACGGCCTTTGCATTTGGGCAATCGCCACCTCCCGTCGCAATTCGCGGGGGCCGCTGTCACGTCACCCCTTGACTACCCTTTACCGTTTGCACAAAGCGCGTCTGACAGTGTATCTCAACGCTGTCGCAACTTGCGGTCGAGATTTTTATAGCCTTTGTCGCCTGATCCTTACGTTTAGACCCTGAGTCACAATCTAATGCGCGTCTGATGAGCCCAAAGCGGTGAATACTTGACGCACATCTCCGAGATAGTCGGGAGTAAAAAGTAGTAAGTAGAGACAGCGAATGCATTTGCGAAAAAACAATACTCGTCTTTACCTCCAGGAATCCTGTTGCAACTCAAAAACAGGAGGAGACGGACCCCTCCTACGTGAAGGAACTTTATATGATGAATAATTCGTACACTCTCGTGAAATGTAAGCAGGCCCAATCTATCTATTGCCGTGGTCTGCATCATCATCTCATAGGCCACACATGAAGTCGGTCAGCTGCTCTAGACGAGGGTGTAGTAGTCTGTTCAATTTTCGTACAGTGCATATTACAGCCTAAAGTGCTTCCTCGAGGGAAGCACTTTAGGCTGTAAAAGAAAAATTAAAGGAAAGGAACATGCTTCCTCGAGGGAAGCATTTTCTAGATGTTGGTTAGCAACTGGAACGTGAAATGAATAAAGATGTGCAAAATTCACGTTGCGCCCTATGCGTGGGCGAAGATAGTGCCATCTGCACATTCTAATAAAAAATCAGTTGTTATCCATCGCTTACAGTTGAAAACGAGCGTGTTGCTTAATAGATACAAAACTTGAAAGTATAAAACAGAGAGGACGAGGACGGGAACAGGACATCTTTCAAACTTTCAAGTTTTGTATCCATCGCTTGTTCTGTGTAGTACTTCCTTTTGGTCCTTGTCCTTTTCGCGCTAGTTTTCACAATGAACTATACCAACTTACCCAAATTTTCATTCTACTAAGAAAAAAAAAGACATAGGACACATAAGTTCTAATTTACAGCTGAATAATACATCTTCAGTGTGTGGCGGAATGCTCAACTAGCCCATTTTTGTAGTGTATTAGTTTTCTTCTAGCCCTTCATTGCAGTGTGGCACTGCTTCGCGCATACAAAATATGCTAGGCTGCGTTTAGTTTAAATCAGGGGAACGCTTGCTCACCAGATTATAGCACCTGCCCTTCTAATTCATCATAACTGGGCTTCTGGTGCACAACTTCCCGCAACACACGTGACACCTTGGTTTGCAGGGGAAACCAGAAAACGCTCCCGCTCGGGTTGCCACATTTGTTTTCTCATGTAAAAGTTAAGGCACTGAGAAGAACACAGATCCCTTACCTGGGTTCTAAACATTCAAGTATTTATCCAGCCAATCCTTCGTAAAAGTTGAAAAATGATTTCATGGCGATTTTCATAAACCGAAACATACACACAAACTATGTTTCTCTGCTTTTTTACCCCACCACGCAGGATGCTCTTCTCTCGACCAACTGCGACCCGAAATGGTTGTTCACCAAAGTTATTTCTACCGGCTGCCGCAGACAGAGGCACGGATTCAAAATGCCTGCCACTAATGTTCCGGCTTTACTTCTAGGAAACTTAGTGGTGGACGAATAAACCATAATAAGGAGCGCTCATCTAAGTTTTGAAATAAAGAGTCAATCTTTTCCTGGGTCTTATGCCTGAACGTTTGTTTTCCGCCACTGTTCATGCGGTGTATTTTTTTTCTAACAAGACTGTCAAAACATTTTACAAAAAAAAAAATGGTTTTCTGAAATTGTTTTATCGTTACCAGCTTTTTGCGCCCTAATCTTTCGTTTAACAGCAATTTTTTTACATGGCTATAGTGCCTCGCATACGACTCCAGCTTGGTGTGCTTACTGCGTCCTAAACAGTTGCACCTCGATTTCCCCCTGTTCACGTCATAAAAGTATCAAGTTTTCGCCAGCTTCGATCCTGGCCGTTTCACGGCAGCCGCGTGGATGTGAAGAAAGCCTGTTGGTCTCCAGACCTCCCTCGACCTTCGGCTGCCAGGAGTTGGGACGTCGCGACGACAGCGACAGTCACGTCTGCTCGTACATTTTGCCGGGACGTCTAGCAGCAACCCTCAGGACCGCGACATCCGACAGCCCGTCAGGACGACTCGTGTGGCGTCATTTGTTGCCGTTTCTGTGCCTCTTTTGATGTATGGGCAGGATAGCACGGAGACCATGTGTGGGCTACCCAAGTAGACCCACTGTTGTTCTCACGACGGGAGCCCCCGGGGGCTGCCCAGGTTGCCCCTTTGTGGGTCACCGAGGGCAAAAGTTGTGGGCTTCTCAAGTGGTTGGGCCCGACTTCCAAAGCCGACGGCAGACCCATTCGGGCTGTCCACTTTGGGCACCCCTTTCAGAACCTACCTTGTGCCACTTGGGAAAACATCTTAAAAAAACGCAAGTCAGGCACCCTTCTAATTTTTTTTGCACACCTGATTGTTTACAGCGAATCTCTTTCATTTTCAGTGAATCCCTTTCAAACCGACATTTATTTAAGAAACTAGATTCCACCTTGATTATAGTATCTTATGAACGACAAAGTTGTTGACAACATAACGATTGTTGTTCGCAAGATTGAGCCATTTGGTGTCGACGTGTTAGAAACAAAGCCACAAAGACGACACCTTCCGTATCGTGTTGCAGACAAATGCATAAAGATATCGCCCGAATCAGCATACAGTGGTGTATAACATATTATCGTGCAGGCTAATCTGTTATGTGCATCAAATTACTGCGGAGCTCGTACAACGGATTCCTCATATCAGTTCGGTATGCATTGCCAGCTGCAACATAATGCGCTTTAAAATATTATTGTTTGAGTACACATTATATAGAAAAATTTGCTGTATGTTTGCCGGCTACCAAAGGGGTCCTATATGCATTGCTATTATAGGGCCGCTTGGCATTCCTTCGTTCGTGCGCATTAAAGATGCCCAGATGTGCCATAACCAATAAATCGCAGGCAAAAAAAAAAAATAACCATGAATGTTTTGCAGGTTTCTTCGATAATGGGGTCTTAAAAAACACGTCACAGAATGCGTGCCCACACTTTGGCTCGTGAACGCGTGTTTTGGCGAAAAAAAATTACCATTAGATAAATAGTTTCAAAGCAAAACAAAGGCCAAAGATATGATGTCCCTCTACCTCTTCAGGGTGCTTCTAGTTGCTCCTCTTGCCTGCAAGATCCCCAGGAAATCTAATTTTCCTTAGAAACGGTTTTCCGCTTCTAAGTTATAAGTACCTAGTGTTCCATCTTTTTGGGGTGTATCTTTTTTTTTTCTTTCTTTTTTATTATGTGGGTATTTTCGAAAGCTTTATTTTTCTCGCAGTTTCGGTGGTTTGTTTTTGTGTGTGTTGATGTTTGGTATTAAACAAAAAAAAACGCATTTATTTGGGATTATGTAGAATAAAATAGCACAATGATACGGGATTCCTCAAACTCCTATGGTATGTTACAGGTCAAGAAGGTCGCGGCCAATTCCTCTCAAAGGGATTTATATATCCCTCCGCCACCTCCGCATCCAATAGCGCCCCATCGTTTCCGTGATGTCGCGGCCAACGCGGGAGGCAGGTCTTGCCTTCCTGCAAATATGTGCCTTATCTTTCCACTTTGACTAAGTGTTGTGGAAGTCACGAGAGGGAGATTAGAGTTTTCCCTCTCCGATAGAAACAAATACGACTTTCTGGGGTTAGGCTCCCCCTCCGATGGATACTAAGACTAATTTTAGGGGCTCGGTTCCCTCTCCGATGAATACTAAGGTCGTTTTTTTTAAAAAGTAGGGGTCGGAAACAAGTTGGCATCGCATTGCAGCCAATATATATCCATTGAAGCGGAACAAAGGGAGTTTCCAGTGAAATATCCTTTCGACTGTGGAGGGATTTGAAACGGGCCCATCACGCTTGTGGGAGGAGCTTCTCTTACCTTCTTGACTTGTACCACCGAATATTAGCCTTTCCAAATTTCGAAATGTTGCATAGATTATGTGTGGCCGCCATTAGTTGGTCGTGCGCTTTAAACACGCGTTGGACACGAGCGTTTCGTCAGCGTTCGAAGTGCACCCGGCTCGAAAGGCATTTAAAACGAGTGTTGTCGTCAGTACTCGGCGCCAACTACAAGCAAATCCCGCGGGCTTCACGCCGGAAGCGACGAGACCAACTAATGGCGGCTGCGCATGATCTATTCATCCTTTCACAATTTCGGAAAGGGTCTATAAAGTGCCTGGTTGTCAAATAAAAAAGCAGCCTCACGAAACATTATCGCGCAGCACTGTGTACTGTGTCGGCACAAAATAAACGTACAGGGAAAATTTTTCTCGCTGCGAAGCTTGGCTTTTTTTTTTTTTATTGAACGAGAGCTTCCATATCGGTTTTCCACCACATTTTGATAAAACCGGCTGTGGAATTTATTTTTGCCGAGTTTATCAGTATATAAAAAAGCAACTCCACTCTGTCCTATAATAAAGAAAAAAAATATTTGTAGTGTGTGTATGTTTATACAGCCTAGAACTTGGTCTGCCTCGACGGGCGACGAGTCTCCCAGCTGAAGATAAGCAATTTAGCGAGCTCAGTACAAACGCTAGCCTAAGGTCTTTAACGTGCACCGCGCAGTAGTGATACACGACCGCAGGCCGGTACGATGTTCATCCAGATCGAAACGTGCAAGGGTGGGGATTTAACCCAGGATCCTGGGTTCTGCAGCGCCAGTTTTCGCTCCACGTGCTTCGAGCTGGTGTGCGCTAGCTCGCCAGGCCATCGATCCAACTTGTCCAATGATGTATGTCCTCTCTAACGATTTTTTTAATGGGAGGAAATGGTTGGAAAGGAATCACTTCCTGGCAAAACTCGCATGTACAACAGAAAAAAAAAAGAGAAAAAAAAAAAGGAGGCATGCATCTCCTTTTTGTCACATTTTTTTTTTTCACATTTCTTTCCTTTCAGCGACCCTCACCGTCATAAAAACCTCACCGGAAACAAAAATACTAGAAAAAAAATAGATACTGCACAGGCTCGAGAGCGCGACTTTAGAGCCCTGAATATCCCGGGCGGCCGCCACATGTATCCGAATCTCTCCTTGCCACAGCGAGCTGTTAACCTCATCAGTCGAGTTCAAGCGAGTGACGTGTCGCTGATTGGCGGGAAGCACTGACGACATAGGTTGGCGATCCACGTTGCAGAAAGCCGGTATCCTACGTTCACTTTACAAAACCCCGTGCACGAGGGGTAACATTGCAAACCGCTCTATAGTAAACATTTTGGTGCGAGCAGATTCGATTAAGTCATGACCCGAAGGAAAAATCCATCAATGTAACGCTGTTTGGCAGTCAATGTTTTCTAGTGGACCGCTGACTGTGCCTGACTGTACGTCAAGCATGTCTGATTGGACAACAAGTTACTCTGACCGACAGTCAAACTCCAGTCAGACCCCGCTTGTCGGCTTTCTGATGGTTTCCTGGTGGCAGTCGGCCGCCGCGAAATGCCATCAGGATGTCCTGGTGGTGATTCTGACTGTACATCGATTGTCTCTGACTGTACGGCAGAAAGCTTTGACGTGCACACAGAAGTACTGTCAAAGGACGTAAAGTTCGTTCGGATACCACTATTTCGTCAAATCTATGAATACGAAAAGTAATCTATGCACGAGAAAACGATTTCGGGACGTGAGCCCATAAAACCGCTGACGTTAGAGATGTGACACGCAACCGACCGACAACCTTGATCAGAAGCCCGCCGAAGCCGCCGAAGCGTCGAACACGACACTTCGCACTTCGCTTCGCTCATGGGGTCTTCGCCGAGCTTCCATGAACGATCGCTCTCGACTCGTTTTGTTTGCCCGCTTGCTCCAACCTGTCGATCCTGCCCGGGCTCTACAATGTCTTACATTTTAGTAGAATTTCTACTCGACAAGACCCAGCCTGTTGTGAGTTCCGACAATGTAAGGCACTTTAGCGGTGTAGTTGAAGACGACAAGGTGTACTACTGGGCCGGAGACGCTCCAACGAAAGGAGGATTCTACGACGCGAAACTACTGTGCATGGCAGGTGAGTAGAACTGAAGTACGGCGATTGATGTACGATTGCTTGGTTTAACTGCATATGCAGCCGAAGCACTTTTTAGAGCGATGCACTCATTGTCGGAACCTCTCGCTGCAATACTGAAATGCTCTTGACTCGGTCCGAGAGGTTTAGGCAAGAAAGTTTATATCTTTCTATCAGGTGTGCACGGTAAAAACGTTCGGTAAAAAAACGTAGAGCTTCTCATTAAAAGCTACCGAGAAGCATCCGTAATCTGAAATACGATTGACTTGTCCGTAAATCTAAAGTTACGATTCTTTAAACAACTAAAATTGTTTGCGACAAGCTGAAAGTTGTTTTATTTGGTTTAGACTAATACACAACGGTTCTCACATTTTAAAGAATCATTTATTGCACTGTCAATCAACTAATGATAAACGTTCCGAAACGAGGTGGCGCTAGTTACCGCTCAATTGAAAAGCACGAGGTGAGATTTGTGTCTAGTATAATCACACTGCCGCTATCTCT